AAAAAAGAAAAGAAAAGAGTACTTGTTGCTCTTGTAGAGGACCCAGGTTTAATCCCAGTACCTATATGGCTGTTAACAGCTATCTGTAACTCCAGTTCCAGGGGATCCTAATGTCTTCTTCTGACCTCCTCAGTCATGCATGTGGTACACATACAAAGATAAAGCACTCAAGCATAAAATGAAATAATTAAAAAGTAGTTATAAAAGATAGCTTTTATTGAGTTTGATCTTTGATACTTTCATGCATGTATAAAGTACATTATGATTATTATAACTCCCTACCCTCTCCACTTTCCCTCCCATCTTTAATACTCTCACCTCCCTACAAGTTGGGAACCATTTTTAGGAAGCTGGTACTATGTGCCTTATGTGTCCCACACTCACTCCCACTGTTGTGACAAGTTACTGTCACAGACACTGAGACACACATATGCAAGAGTTTTTCTCAGGGCAGGTCTAGGATGGGCTACGAAACTAGCAAAAACTCTGTCTCAGCAGGGGAAAAGCAGCCCTATGCTGGTCGTCTGTAGCAGGCACAGGTGGCCTCTCTGGCCTGAATCTGAACTACTCTGTTTTATACTTTGGTCAGCTTGCTTTAGTGGCTCATTGTCATGCCTCTGGAGAAAGGCACTGCAGGGGGAGCCCTGGGTTTAGATGCAGTGTCCCAAAACAGCAGTGTGAGAGATGGCCATTTGAGGAACCACAGTGATGCCCAGGCATGGCACTTGTAGCTTGAGCACAGAGTCTGTGGCCTGTAGCCCATGAAGGGCGACACATGACATGATATGATCCCACTCTGAAAAGCAGTACTTTCTAGGCCTGGTATCTGCAGGACAATTTACCTCAGCCAGGAATGGCAGCTGTTATAGCTTATCCACCACTCCCAGACCATTATGCCTCTTCTCTTTCAGTCATCATCATCTCTCAATCAAGGAGGTCCTGGTTGGATCCTCTTAAGATCAGACGCAAGATCCCCAAGCTGTCCTGGTCACTACATGAATGTGTGACTTTAAAAAAAATTATTTATTTTTATGTAAATTGGTGTTCTGCCCACATATATGTCTGTGTAAAGGTGTCAGATCCCCTGTAACTAGAATTATAGACCGTTGTGAGACACCATGTGGGTGCTGGGAACTGACCCTGGGTCCTTTGGAAGAGCAGCCAGTGCTCTTAACTGCTGAGCCATCTCTCCAACCCCCCATCAGTGACTTCTTAAGTAGGTTATGTCCCTGATGTGCAGTGCACAGATGCTCATGGTATTCCTGCCTGCCTTGCCTGGAGTCAAATGCAAGCCTCCCTGTGAGGCAGAAGAGCCAGGTTTCCCCTAGCTTCTTAGGACTGCATTTGATATTTGAGAGAGTAAACCTTCTCTTGTGGGACATGGAATTCTCTGGGCCATGATTCCTGCAAGGACCTACTCCCTTTGTGCACTTGTGTTCTTTGGCAGCTCTCCCTTGACAAGGAGCTCATTGACTTTGGCAGCTATGTGGTGGGTGAGACCACATCCCGGATCATCACACTGACCAATGTTGGGGGCCTGGGCACCAGATTCAAGTTTCTCCTGGATTCTGAGTTCTTTGAGATGGAAGAACCCCAACCCGTCATGAAAATGGTGAGTGCACTACCAGCTTCTGACCAGCAGCCATGCTGTCTTGCCTGTCTGTGGTTCTGCTCAGTCAAGGATGGGGTGTTGTATGCACCCTCCCAGCCATGCATACTATCTCATGTGTATACAAATAAATGAGCAAATAAGACTGCCATCAAATTGAGAGGGGGACGGGGAAAGGAAAATGTCAGAACAGGCTCATATTAGTGAGAATAAAAATGTCTGGCTCCAAAGCCGGGCGGTGGTGGCCCACGCCTTTAATCCCAGCACTCGGGAGGCAGAGCCAGGCAGATCTCTGAGTTCGAGGCCAGCCTGGTCTCCAAAGCGAGTTCCAGGAAAGGCGCAAAGCTACACAGAGAAACCCTGTCTCAAAAAAAAAAAAAAATGTCTGGCTCCAATGAGGACACATGCAGTCTGGCCTCAGGAGCAATGGCAGCAGAATGGGATTCCCCTTAAGGCATGTGGTACATATTGAGTAGGAGCATTGGGAGACCAGAGTCCAATCAGACAGCTCCATGAGACACCATGGATCTCTTTTCAGAGTATGAAAAGTGTCTTGTTTTTCCCAAGAAGACTGTGCATGGGTCACAGTGAATGGCAACAGCCTCAGGGGCCCTACTCAGGAAATGAACTCACCATGCTCATGGATCATGGGATCATTTGGGGAAGATGAACAAAAGGTGCACCGTTTCTTACATGCTTCTAAACTATTTGAACATTCTTATGAGAAGCATGAAGCAATTGTGTTGGCTCTGTTCAGGTGCCCCAACAAAGACCCCAGAAAACATCTCACCCAGGAGATGGCAGGACCAACAGGGCAGCCATGAACAAGGCAGTATGGAGAGCAAGCTGCTGTGGGGGAAGGTGGGGCTGTAGTCAAAACCAGAGAGCAGGGCAGGTGGAATGAGGGGACTAGGAGCCAGGCTTGCTTTGGGTAGGTGGATGGGTTGCCTGGGGGTCCCAGGATATCTAGGAGTTCTGTCTGCAACCAGCTGTGCAGAAAGGAGAGTCAGCTCAACCAAGGCTAGAGCAGAGTCAGCCTCTGGGCTAGTGACCAAGTACAGTGTAAAGAGGGTAGACTCAGCTGCTCATAGGTGGGGTCTATGATAGGGCATCTAAGCTAATGACAGAGAGGAGCCAGCTTGGCCAAGGTAAAATAGATAATCATCCCTACCCTAGGTAAGCTGATGCTGTGGTCTGAAGACCCAGGATAGACAGAATGAGAGCATAGACCCGGGAGTGGAGGAATGGCAGCAGCCCTGGGCACAGATGCGTTGTGTCTTCTCTTGGACTCATCTGGTGAGAAGGGTATCTGTGGAGTTTTATGGGCAATGAAGACACTGAGTTCCCTTTCAGAGCAGCGTCTTCACCTATGAGGACAAAAGTTTTTATGAGAAGATCATGAACAGTCTCTCTGAGCAACAGCTTGATGGTGATGGGTCCTCCCCACTGGACCTCCCAAGCCGAAAAGAATCTGAGAAACTGGATGGTAAGAGTTGGGGAGACTTGTGAGTGGGTAGCAGGTACCTACTTCAAACTTCCTGCATTGATTCCTGAGCCAGCCAGGACCCTTGGCCTCAGCTGAATGCTGACTAGGCCCAGAAGAGGGCTGGCGTGGACACAGGGGCCTCCCAAAGGCAGCCGTCCAAGAGCCGCTCTCAGCACGGCCACCTCAGGATCTCAGGCCAACCAGAGGGCCAGAGAGCTAGCATCTCAGCCGGAGACTGACAGGCCTGTGACCTAGGTGATGTGGAGGAGGGTCAAGGTACAGAGTTTTCTCAGGCCTTCAGTTGTATGATAGAAAATATAGAAAATACTCATACATACAAATATACACTGGTTATGGTGTGCATTGAAATTCTATTTGTGTTGAAACAAATAGAATTGCAACTAGAGTTTTTTCCTCCAGGCTCCCACCAAGCCCTGGCAGTACCTCAGCCGCTTATAAAATAAACACACAGACTCTTATATTATTTATAAACTGTATGGCTGTGGCAGGCTTCTAGCTAGCTGTTCTTATATCTTAAATTAACCCATTTCTATTAATCTATAAGTTGCCTCATGGCTTACCGGTATCTTAACATCTTCTCATGGCAGCGCGGCTGGCAGTGTCTCTTGCCTCAGCCTTCCACTTCCCAGAATTCTCTTTTCTCCTTCTCCCACCTATGCTTCCTGCCTGGCTAATGGCCAATCAGTGTTTTATTTATTAACCAATCAGAGCAACACAATCAACATACAGAACATCCCACAGCATAGAATCCCCAGATGTGGACAGCCAGGCTGGCCACATGGTGTACAGGGGTGAGGGCTTTGAAGGCTCTGCCTATGAACTGGTCTCTGCTGGTGCTGGTCTTTATCAGTACCACCAGGCTCTGAGGCTGAGGAGGGAGTTTGTTTTAAACCAGCTGCATAGAAGTGCAGATGATACACAAGGACAGTTTCAAAACCTGAACAATCCCTGTGTTGAATTGGAAAAACAGGTACCTGTCAAGGCACTGACCCTTACTGTAATGCAATACTCTCCACCCTGTGCACTGCCTTCAGTTGTTTTCACCATTTCCTTGTTTTCTTTTCTTTCTTTTTGTTGGTTTGTTTGCTTCGTTTTTTTCAAAACAGAGTTTCTTTTTTTTTTGGCTTTTAAAATTTGATTTATTAGCATATATTCATTTGTACTAATATAATATTAAAGGTATCATTATGACATTTTCATGTACACATGTCATGTACATTGCCCATACTCTTTCTTTTTTAAAAATTTTTTAATTTAATTTTACATATCAGCCATGGATTCCCCTGTCCTCTCCCCTCCTGCCCCCTTCCCCCCCAGCTCACCCCCCATTCCCATCTCCTCCAGGGCAAAGACTCCCCTGGGGATTCAGCTCAACCTGGTAGATTCAGTCCAGGCAGGTCCAGTCCCCTCCTCCCCAGAAATCCACAAATATACCTCCACAATAGAATATGGTGATATTTTAATTGTATTGAAATATGATTTTATTTGTGTGTTAATAAATAAAGTTGCCTGGGTCACAGCAAGCCATAGCAGAAACTGGGCAGTGGTAGTACACGCCTTTAATTCCACCTCTTGGGAGGCAGAGCTAGGCGGATCTCTGTGTGGTCAAGGATACAGCCAGCATGGAGACACACGCCTTTAATCTCAATACCAACCATAGAAAACTGGAGGTCTGTACAGATAGGCAGTGACGATCAATGAGAAGGCAGAATAGAAAGTCTATAAAGAAGACAAACAGACAGGAAGTAGGTCTCTTGCTGAAGAGAACAACAGCAGCAGTGAAGGATAAGGTTTTTAGCTCTGACCTCTTGGGCTTTCATCTCTGCATTGGCTCTGTGTTTCTTTTTTCTTTCTTTCTTTTTTTTTTTAAGATTTTATTTATTTATTATGTATACAGCATGTATGACAGCAGGCCAGAAGAGGGCATCAGATCTCATTACAGATGGTTGTGAGCCACCATGTGGTTGCTGGGAATTGAACTCAGGACCTCTGGAAGAGCAGTCAGTGCTCTTAACCTCTGAGCCATCTCTCCAGCCCCGGCTCTGTGTTTCTTATTTAACAAGACTGTTCATCTACAATAGACTACTGGCAATGGTCGAGAGGAAGCCCAATCTGACCTACTCTGGTGATAGGATGGCCAAACACCCTAACTGTCATGCTAGAAATCTCATCCAATGACTGAGGAAAGCGAATGCAAAGATCCATGGGCAGGCCCCGGGGTGGAGCTCCAGGAGTCCAGTTGGTGAGATAGAGGAGGGATTGTATGAGCAAGAATTGTTGAGACCAAGATTGGAAATAGCACAGGGACAAATAGCAAAACAGAGTTTCTTTGTATGGCCCTGGCTGTCCTGGAACTCACACTGTAGATCAGGCTGACCTTGAACTCAGAGATCTGCCTACCTCTGCCTCCTGAGTGCTGGGATTAAAGGGTTGCACCACCGCTGCCCAGCTGTAGTTTTTATTTTAAGATTTCCAAATTTACCATTTATTTTGGTTGTGTAGTGTGTGTGTGTGTGTGTGTGTGTGTGTGCCCTTTTCCCCTGTGCCAAAGTCATAAAAATGTGGGACATACATCTCACATTTAAAAATCAGTAGTTCATTTCAAATTTTAAAGAGTTTTGTTGAGAAGTTCCTTCCAAATTCTACTCATTGCAAGAAATTCTTACTTAAGCTTGAAAAAGCCACAAGCACTTAAAACCCATGAGTCTCCCACAGACCATCCTTAGCTTATCCAATCTATCAGGAACTGGCATGTGTTCTTTCACTGGCCAACCTGTAGCTGAATTACTTCTCCATGTTCTGTATGTGCAATGACACAACCATTGCAGACCAACTTCTTCTGAAATGCCGTCATTAGTTTCTTTTTATCATTTTCATCAACAGTCCTTTATGGTATGTGAGGGTCTTCCTGCCACCTCTCTGTTGGGTAGAATTCTCATTCCCTGTAAGAAGCAGGTCATCACCCTTACCCAGATCAGTAAAGGGTCAAAGAGTGGAGAACTGGATAGTAAATGTACTTTCTTTATAGAAACTGTCTGCAGGCAAGTGGGCGTCGGGAAACAGAGCATGTGGCATCAAGGGAGAAGCAGCTGAATCCTCAGCAGTGGGTCATACAAATTAGCACAAAGCAGGAATTGAGTTTCAGTCTCTGTGAAGATAGCCTCTTGTTCTTGAAACTTTCACTACTGTATTTTTGACCTGGGCAGAGGTGGTGAATACCTTTAATCCCATTACTCAGGAGGCAGAGGCAAGTGGATCTCTAAGTTTGAGGCCAGCCTGGTCTACAGAGTGAGTTCCAGGACAGCCAGGGTTATACAGAGAAACCCTGTCTTAAAAACAAAACAAAAAATAAATGTTTGGATAAATGGGTTACTTGTGCCAGGAATCTATTGACTATCTGAGAGGAACATACTTTAGGCTCTCTTTTTTAACCAGTTGAACAATTTATCCTATCAAATATACTTTCTTGTTTATCATGAACTTAGATTAAGTCTTGAAGTCATGAATTGTGTGTTACCCAACTTTCTTTTTTTCAGAGTAATTGCTTGCATTGTGTTGGTTCTTTGCATTTCTGGATGCATTTTAGAGTCAGACATGTTAGTATATTGATACATATCTACAATCCCAGCACCTGGAAGGTAGAGGCAAAGGATCAGGAATTCAAAACCATTGAGTTGAAGGCCAGCCTGAGTT